CCTCAGCTTCACCGAAGCATAAGCTTCAGTAAATCCTGTCCAAATTATTTGCCCTCAGCCTCACCTAAGCAAATATTTTTATCCTAATTATATTAACATGAATAAGTTTTTAAACAAACTCTCTCTTTTTTATCTTCTTTTGTAAGTTTTTTGCTGCCATTCCTATATACTTCCACTTTTTGACTTCTGCCTTTATTCGACCTTCATCCACTTCTGTCCACCTACTCCGACCTTTATTTTTCCTCAGCGTCTTCCCTACTTCCCCTTCGCTCTATTAAATTTTCTGGCGTGATAGTTATTTTGATTTAAAGCTTTTATCTTCGTTATATTTTATTTTAACTTTACAGGTACATTCTTGTCAAACCAACGTATATAATGGTGGAGGTAATGTTTTTTATGAAATTTTTTTAACTTTGGATTTTTCACTTTTCAATTTTCAATGTTTAACTTTCATTTTTCACTTCACTTTTCTTCAGCACATTGCACGCTACCTATATTCCGCTGCAACCGTCACAATGACGAGGTCCAGTTGCATTACTGAATAGGAATGTATGCGACTTGATGGACCGAAACATTCCCATTCAGATTTTATTTTATTAACATTTCCATCTTTTTTCACAATCCTTTATACTTATAAACCACCAAAATTTCAATTAAAATAAGCTTCAGTAAATCTTGTCGAAATTATTTGCCCTCAGCTTCACCTAAGCATAAGTTTCAAATGAATTCCTTTTATTCATTAATTTACTTTTCTTTGTAGTGCTGTGTTGGCTTATTTTCCTCCTTACTGCTATCTGCAGTTCTTGCTTCGAACTCCTGACTAGCACCCTTTTTTCCTCCTGTATCCTCTTCCCAACCCCTGCCTCCAGAGCCACATCGGGGCACCCACAACCTCCAACCACTGTCACCGCTTATCGTTCTGAACTCTTAACCAGCAACTTAATCCCTCCCCACTTCCCTGACCTCAATCGCGCCCTCTGAGCTGTATCTAGGCATTTACCAACCAACACCCCCAACCACGTCCAGTCCACCCACCCATCACCCCCAGCCACGTAATTCAGCCGCCAGGTACGGGGCAGCGCTACCTAGCGCGCCTGACAAAGCTCCAGCGAGCGGCGCTGCGAAATAGTGTTGGCAGAGATGGTACAGCGAAGTGCTGGAAGGCTAAAGCACCATAGATCACCAGCCGAGCCGAGTTATTGTAATTGCCGCAATTCGCCAAATTAAAGCATAAAATTTAGCGCCGGCAGCTCACTATGCAACTGCTTTGTCCAGTTGGCCGGACAGCTGCTAGCGAGGAGGTGGGGCGAGCACCCATATTCTGATTTATCACTTTCTCATGAGTCGAATTTTAATTTCCTACGTTCCGCCCCATCGTTTTCAGAGCGGCAGGATCGAGGAAGTCATATTGTATTCTGTCGATTTTCTGGAGAAGACGGTTCATAAGCTTATCCTTCGATAACCCCCCGTCCTTGTGAACATGTACGAAACACATGGCAATGGAATAAAAGAGAATAACACATCATATCTATCCTACTTGCCCAAGGTGTTACTCTAT